AAATCCTAGAGCATTCGCCAAGGTACAGGATAGTTCTAGAAACGTGGCGTCACACTAGTCATGTGACTTTGCTGATGCAACAATATCTAACTTACCACTCAAGAAAATTTAGAACAATTGCTATGGTGTAAGCACCTTTTTCAAGCTGGCAAAGCAGGATTATAATTAATTTACTTAGCATTAGATATTAGTATAAGGCTTATTATATATATATATGTTCTTAACACTGCATTCAATTTCTAGTCCCTTAAAGATTTTCAATTAGAAGAGTGTATCAATAATATTCATATTAATGCCAATGATAACAGAACTAGAAATTTTTTTTAATGCTTAGGCCTGATAAATGCAATATGAGTTTACTGAAAACTATAAGTTTTCTCGAATTTAGTTGATTATACTTGTTTTTATAATCAACTTGATGAAAATTTATAATTTATGAATTTGCTTTCATTATGAAAAAATACACCCCACTTAATTTATAAAGTACAGAATAAGACTCACTACATTGAATAAAAGAAAACAGCTCAGGAATCTTACACTTTTAATGCTCTTTAAGGATATTGGAAATACATGTGAAGGAAGCAATTAAAGGCCTGTGACTGACAATTATTTTATCAAATTTTATGAATCTAAAGATTTCCTCATAGAGCCTTATTCAGGTACAAGAGTGTGTTATCTACTTCAATAAACTTGGTTAATAGCTTATCTGATGTGGAAGAATATTTCACATATCTCAAGAAAATTGGATATAAACTTAAAAATTATTCATGAAAATTTCAAATCAGTACCTTTAAAAAGTCATAAAGTGAGCTTTTTTCATGGTAAGCTGTAATCAGCCAATATTCCAACTGAAGATTATCTGCCCTTTTTTCTGCTGCAATAAAGGCCAAGATGTTATCATGTTTCATCTGTGGTAGCTGGAAAATCTCCTGTTCCACTTGCCAAGAGTTCTTGTCCTGCACATAAAACTTCTTTAATGTACAGCTAGTTGTTGGAGTCATTCATATTACATAGTGACCAAAAAATAAAAGTTCTGAATAATATACACTAACATGTTTTTATATGTCAATACATTAAAGTTGTACATTCATGTATCAAATCTTTGAAGATGCTCTAATTTCTTAAAAATTTCTTACTACCCTTATTCAACATACTAAAGATAATCTATATGCACTCAACAAATTCTCAAGTTCAGGTTCTCAGAGAGTTCCTAGCTTTAATCATATCAGTAATCCTAGCACCAACATTGAAAATTTACAGATTCTAATGACGTGTCCAACATGTATGGAAGTACTGAAGCATGACTTATATACATGCAATGTATACTTTACAGGGAACCAGTATTCAAAACATATTTTGGATAAATATTGGAACTTCTCCATCATTCCATCTTTGATTTTTCTGGGATGATATAGAAGGATACCTCTTGTGTAAGTGAAAGCACAGTTGATCCTGTTTTATATTTCTTCAAGTTTATCATGGCTAAACAGCAACATACAATTGCAGAAGCAAAACAATGAATGTTGGAGAAGCACCAGGGTTTATCAAAAATCTTTCGTGAAAGCATGTTATCCTGCTGAAGATAAACATAACATATTACCACTAGAAAATGCAGAAATTTCATTGGGATGCATAATAGGCATAGCAAATGCAAATCCATCTGTATGGGGATATAAGAAAATATGTCTTAGATTCAATGGCACAATGCTACCAAAGAATGGAATAAAAAAACAATGTTGATTGGGATTTAAGATGAAATGAATATCTTGAATAAAAACAAGGATACAGATGAATGATACATAAAAATAAGATATCTATCTAGAATTAAAAAAAATTATAAGTACAAAGATTTTAAAACCATTTTTCTGCAATCACACACATTTCAAATAAAGCGAGTCAGTTACTGATAAGAAAACTAGTGCAATGTATTTTACTTCTAACAATGTAAATGTTACATTATTCACAGCAAAAAAATTAGAAAAATGTTCCTGTTTTTAATTAAATGTGAATATTATCATATAAAGAATATAATATAAAGCAACAGCATGTGGTAATCAAAAACTAAACACAAATGAAAAACAACTATATATTAGGTTATTTCTGAATGTTTATCATTAGTATTAGAAAAAAAAGAGAGATAAAACCCGGTTTTTATGCTTAAAAACTTTATTATTATTTAACACTGGTGAAAGTACCCGGCTTTGCTTGCATTATCAGGTTGATAGTTGTGTATTCTGAACCCATTTCAGCATAAAAGCCATTGTTGGAACACATTGTTACCAAAATGCACTAACTTTTCTACATATTAGAAGTTGTTATATATAACGAACCACTTCTTTTCTATGTGGTTTTTCTCTAGCTTGAATGATTAAAATGATGCGCAGCACGGGCTTGCGCACATGTACATGGATAAGAAATACACAGATGCACACCCTCAGGGTCAACTTAGTGTGGGTGCAAAATTTCAGGTTTCTAGATTCTTTCCTTTTGGAGCTATGGTAGTCTCACACACACACACAGACATGAGCATGTGCATGCACTCACACATGTGTGTGTTTGTCTGTTCGTGATTTCTATTTGTAATACAAAGAACCATTTCATTTCTATGTGGGTTTTTGCTAGCTTGCTTCATTAAAAAGATGTGCACATATGTGGATAAGTAATAATACCCAGTTGCACACCCTCATGGTCCACTTAGTATGGGTGCAAAATTTCAGGTTTCTTGGTTCTTTCCTTTTGGAGCTATGACAGTCACACATACACATACACGCATACACGTGTGTTTGAATGTCTGTGATTTCTATTTGTAATGTAAGGAAACTTCTTTTCTATGTGGTTTTTTGCTACCATGCCTCATTAAAAATATGTGCACACATGTATACAAGATAGTAATACCCAGGTGCATACCCTCAGGGTCCACTTAGTATGGGTGTAAAATTTCAGGTTTCTAGGTTCTTTTCTCTTGGAATTATGGTGGTCACACAGACATGCCATTTAATTAGTATTATACTCTTAATATTACCATTTTTAGTATATGCTCCCCCCCCCCTCAAAACAAATTGTGAAGAACTTATGGAATCTATCTTGGTTTTGTGAGCACACAGTAATACAAATAGTTATGCTTTTTTTTATCAACATGCTAAAATCACTGATATATAAAATATTGTGTTCATCAGTAGTAAAGTTTTAAAGATTTGATTAAAAAAAGTTAAATTACCATCCATTTTGTAAGTTTAAGTGAGCTTAAACAAACAAGCCTATTGGTAAACTGCATTGCTGGTATACAAGGAATATCAGGCAAATTATTACACCAATATTTACAGTTTTACTATATTTTTGATGGCCCTTCTCAGCTATTTCTCTAATGTGAGAATTTTAGTAATATATTTCAATCCGTAAACTACTACACAATACTAACTGTGATATAAAACAGTTTGTGAATAAACAACTTTTCAATACAGTCACATCATTCCTAAAGTTTCAATGTACTCAGGTGAGTTTAAACATTTCCTTAAATATTCACAGCAGACTACTGAATACCTGTAGCACCACGATTGGTTCAACTATCTTGCCAAAGTTGCTGTCTTTCTAAACATAAATTAACCAAGTACTAACAAGCACAATTAGTTTTCTATTCAATTGTCAAAAATGTTGCATGCAACCATTTGTCATTAAATTGTTATTTCTCACATTTGTGAGCCACATTTATTAATATTTGGTATCATCAACTTAACTCTCTAACTACAGACATGGTCAATTCGACCTAAATGTTGACTCCAAATTGACCTTTACAGTTTTCATACTATAACTTCTAATATGTTTTGTGTATCTTAATGAAATTTTGCAAACTTTCATTAATCATTCAACTCATTTGTTAACAAGAAAATCAGAATTTTAATGAAGTATTTTCACTAAATATTTCTCCATGAATATATAGACTCAAAATTTTGACTGCTCAGAGAGCAAATGGATTTTCATATTAAGATTAAAACATTTTTCTTCATCTGAAAAAATCTCAAATTTCAATTGCATAATCCCCAAAACCTCCTAAAAAAGTTTCAAAGATTGTTTTTCAGGAAAACTTTATATTTTATCAGTTATTTTTTCTACCCTAACTCTATAAATGGTTAGTCAATTTGATCAACTTTGCAACCACAAACTTTTTTCTTTCTATAATGACTTCAAGTCGCAACATGAAATATTTGTTTGTTCTAAATAGCATTAAACTTGTAACAGTATACATTTGTATGTAAGTATTATTTCTTGGCACTTGTGTATAATGTTACAATAATAAATAACACACAACATTAAAATAATTAATTACACAATTAAAAACATTTTAATTAAGGTCAATCTATAACCACTAAAGAGTTGACTCTACATGTTTCGATGTTGCAACGTCATCTTCAGGAGTGAGTTGCAAAACATAATCATGTCTTATATATATTTTTTTGTTAAATAGGTCACATGACCTATGTACAGGTTTACAATTCCCGCATGAACATTTTAGAGAAGGTCACCTCACATTTTTGCATAAATATTCACCAGACCTTCATCTCTATTTAATAATACATAATCCTTTGAAATAATTAGATATAAAAAAGATCATGAGTCAACTTTTTAGTGGTCATATATCGACCTTAATTAAAATGTTTTTAATTATGTACTTATTTTAATGTTGTGTGTTATTCTTTATTTTAACATTTGCATATAATTAAATTCTCTCCCAACCATGTGTAACTAATATTCCCACAAAAAACTTACAAATCACTTGATAAACATGTAGCTCACATTACCCGATCAAATTACATAACACATAGGCTATTATTTTACTTAATCTAACATTATAAAATCTAAAAAGTTCCTAATTTTTACATTTTAATTACTTTTATAATAAGAAATAAAAATACATACAAGAAACAAGAAATATAGTATTTACCTGGATTTTCTTTATTTTTAGCTGTTGAGTGTCGACAAAATTTAATCATACTTTTTTTACTAATGGTATTACTGCACTAAATAATTTTCCATTTAATTATGTAATGCATCAAGGAACACAGAATAATAACATGCAAAAAGCAGGCAATGTCCTATAACTAACTCAATTTTTTTGGCTTTCCAACTAGGTAACAAGAGCCATTACAAATTCATCTAATCTCATTGATGTTATTCCTGTGAGAATAAAGTTTGAACTAGAAGAGAAATAGACAATTTTCTGTACAGAAAACAACATTATAATATACTATTATAATACATAATACACTATTTGACAGATTAAATATTTGGCTTTCTATTGGTTATGAATAACATACATAGAGAACAACTAGAAATTTCTGAAAGAAATAATGTGACAGATGGGTGTGGCAAGACAGGTTTTATTTTCTATTTCATGGTTCTGTAACCAAGTAGGATCGAAAACCAAAAAAAGTTAACATTTTCCTACACTGAAAATGTATTTTCAATAGATACTTACCTCCCCTTACAAATAGCTTTCCTTGACTTATATTGCCCTCTACAGGAGCAAATTTTTCCTCACCACTAGCTTTAATACTCCCACCTACCCCCACCTGCATTCATGTGAGGCATCTGCATGCTATCATACAAACAATCATGCTGTAACTCTCCACTAATAAGAGCACAACACCTATCATAACGAGTGCTCTCTCTCTCTCCCATCAAGCCCATAATCACTTCGAGATTGGGCATTACATACAAAACCTACACCTGAAATAGGGAGGTTGGGTGGGAAAAGTGAGTATCTATCAGAAATACATTTTTAGCATAGGAAAATGTTAACTTCCCATATGATATCTTACCTCATCTCACAAATAGCTAGAATACAACACTAAGTTGGCAGAAGGTCCAATGAGAAGATGATCCCCTTTAAAAGGTGCCTAAAAGGAAGACCATGAGGTTTGTGAATAAACAGAAGGCAACAAACCATTTCTGAGCATAG